TGTGTATATATGGTGCTAACTGCTGTGCACCAAAATGCAATTTATCAGAATTTCCAACTTTGTTTTTTTTAATATATTTTTTCTCATGTTTAATAATTTATTAGCTTGTCTTCTACAAGGAAGATTTACATGCATACCACTCAATTTCTATGTATTTACATATCTAGCACCTAACATTCAATTTTTACATACATACCATCTTGCCAAGTACGTGCATTTAAAAGTTAAAATGGTGGTATTTTTATGTGACATGAAGGATTCTAGTGTTACAAATATAAATAGCGAAGTTATGGTGCCAGATACATGTAATATATATATATATATATATCTATGTAAATTCCCAATAAAAGAAATTAATATATTTCAAAAACAAAATGCAACAATCTTGCTATAAGAAATGCATTTTCCTTCTTTTTTTTTTATGTACAGATTGGACTCCAATGCCAGCTTAGTGTGGAGGACTTGGCTTTGGAAGTACAACGGAGCTTTAGCCAAGAGTTACTGGCTTTTTGAAGTCGAATGAAAGTCACGAGAAAAATTTGAGTATGTAAGAAGTACGTAGCGTTGCGTACGTCAGAGAGGTTATTCAGAGGGTATTGTAGGGTTATATCCGCGTTATACCTTCTGTAACCTCCATGTAACCTACTTGTAACCTAGCTGTAGCATATAAATATATGAAAACAGAAGCGCGAAAGTTACTAGAAGATACAAGTAGGTTACAAGGGGTATAACAAGGATATAAACCTTAAATACCCTCTAAATAACCTCCTTGACGTACGCAACGCTGCGTACGTCTTACGTATGCAAATTTTTCTGAAAATGCATAGAGGTTGGAACTAAGCATGATGAGACCGAGTAGGTAGCCTTCAATGAGTGTAATTGGAGAATAATTTGAGAGCATGGAAGTTCTTGATAATGTCCACAGGTAATGTATAAAACAATAATTTACACCTATGATTTTCAGAAGATGACATTGCATAATGGTAGGTAATGAAGTAAATGCATATTCTAATCTTAAAAGTGGCAATTTTTTTCTTACTTTGCAGTTATGGGGGATTTGGGAGGTTTCGGACCCTCTCTCTCTCTACTCTCGCTCTCTCTCTCTGGAGTGAGGCATGGACCCTCTCTCTCTCCTTCTTTCTCTCTCCTCTGACCTACGGCCACCGAACATAATATTTTTTTCAAATATAAGGCCTTGAGAAACTGCATTATTGAATTTTATCATGAAATATTTTCTGGATAATAATTTTTTTTGAAATGTAGTCAAAATTTGTTAGCTGAACATTATAATTGATGAGTGCTAGAAGATTCGTGATGGTAGAGATGTTCGATTTTATCGAGATCTCATTGGATTCGACATTCGTTTGATATTTCAAATATGACTGAAAGTGTTGGAAGAGAAGTATAATGACTTGATCTAAGCTTGATTTGACTCGGATTAGATCTATTTTGGTATCATTGTGTTTGTCTCGTCGAATTAGTCAGTTTGACTACAAGATTATTGAAATCGTTCTTCTGAACGACTCTTATTCTAAATTTGAACATTTATTATTTAAAAGATTATCTCAAGATCCGTGTGATGTATCAAAATTCATGTCGGATGATGAGAATTTATTGACAACATATCAGTTGCTCCCCTATTTTCTGACGGGTTATTCATTATATATATATATATATATATATGACACAAAAGTTTTTATGTCACACATATAAATGCACATCATTAATGTGGCATACATGTTAACCTTACTTTTGATGCCATGCATATAAATGCATTAGGATTATTATGGCATGCATGTAGATGGCTCAATGTTTCAGGCTTGATTTTCAAGCGGATCACAAAATAAACCTGCGATTGAAGATAAAAGCGACATAATACAAAAAGAGGACAAGGAATTGGGAGAGGTCGTATTTGGAACGCCAGAGACGACATTCTGTTTTTTTTTTTTTTGTTAACTGTCATTTTCTCTGTATTTTTTTGAATTTAGAATTAGAAAAGTGGAAGGTAATAAGCCAGAACGTGGAGGGACGATAATTAATACAAATTTTATCTTTTTAACTACTAATTTAATATTTCTTGTTATCAATATAAGGGATTTTTGAGCATATAAATAAAGACCAAGATGAGAGGAGAAATTAAGAAAATAGAGGAAAGATGTGTAAGTGGAAGATAGAGAGAGAAGTTCAACTCCAAAAGAGAAGAGAGGGTGGAGGTGAGGTCTTCTGTTAGCAAGATTTTTTAGAAGAAGAAAATCGGCTCTGACCTGTGTAATAGGTGATGAATGGGATCCTCTTTTGTGTTGCAATGTAAAGGAAATTTGTCCCCGTCTTGCGTAGCATGCGACCAATGTGATCTTCTTTCGTTTTGTGGTGTAGAAGAAAGTCATGCCCGTTCATCATAGCAAGCGATCAACGAAATCATCTTTTGTGTTGTGATGCAGAGGAAAGTCATCCCCGTGCTGCGTAGCAGGAGACCAACATGATTTTCTTTTGTGCGAGAGATTCTTGTGTAGCTGTTGCACATTCCGAAAGTGATGAAGAAATGCTGGAGTTTTCTCATCGCACTTTTCAGGGGCGATTTTCGAGCTTTTTTGGCATCAATATTTGGAGAATCTCGTTCTCTTGAAGATTATCAGAAGTACTAAAATTTTGAAGAAGCGATCCACCCCTATTTGAAGATGAGCCGACCTCTTGTAGCCTTTGTACGAGTTCTTGTTGGTGTTTATGACCTTTTTAATCATCTGATGTGGTATGTATAGATGATGATAATGTATTTCTTTGTGCATCTTAGGCTTACAACTTCTAGGAGCTTGAAATGCGCCACTACCTTCTAAGGCTCATAGCCTTTTGAGATATTTGATGTACTTGTACTTCTTGAAACTTCTAGCCTTTTGAGGTCTTTCATGTACCTTTTCCTCGTGAGGCTTGTAGCCTTCTACGGTCTTTGATGTATTTTTGCATTCTGAGTGCTGTAGCCTCATGAGGTTTTTGATTTACACGTGCCTTCTAAGGCTTTTAGCATTCTGAGATCTTTTAATAGTGCTCTGTCAGCCACTTGCTGTCTTGGTGTCTTTTTTAATAATTACCCTGTCCATTACTAGCTTCTCATTGAGACTTGCCTCTTGGGTTTGACTTCTAGGGGTACCATATTTTCTCATTGAGTCTTGTCTCTTGGACTTGACTTTCAGGGGCATGCTAGCTTCCCATTGAGTTTTGTCTCATGGGCTTGACTTCTAGGGGCATTGTAGCTTCCCATCGAGTGTTGTTATTTGGGCTCGACTTCCAGGGGCATGCTAACTTCCCATTGAATCTTGCATCTTAGGCTCAACTTTCAGGAGTACCATATCTTCTTATCGAGTTTTGCCTATTGAGCTTGACTTACAGGGGCATGATGAAGGTCTTGTTAGTCGCTTGCCCTCAAGAGGATTTTCTACACAAAAATATTTCGTGAGAAAATAAGAAAATTTCACTGAACGATAGTTTAAAGCAATATGAAAATTTTGCTAGAATAAAAAAAAGAGTTTATAAGCCAGTATTTTACTCAAATAATATAATTTGGAGTTATACTTCTCATTCAATAACTAACATTTTTCTTCTGGTTTCCCTCAATTTGTTCTTATAAGTAGCAACCCATGTGACCTAAGCGTATTAGACATACAATTTCTTCCTTTAATTGAAAAGAACTTTATGTCAAATGCTCTTTTGCATGGTGGAAATGACAATATTGAGACTGGTCTCTATCGCCTAGATTACTTAAAAGAATTAGCCACTTGACGACCTCTTTCTCCTTGATGACCATTATGATGTTGACGCATGACATGTTGAGTGACATGTATTCTTTTTTCTGAACATGGTCACAATTCCCCTATGGTTTGAACTTTTTCGCTGTGAGAATTGATCATTATCCTTAGTGTTATTTTTGTATTTGCGCCCAAATCGGTCAAATTTTTCCTTGTGTGCATAGTGGGATTTTTTCTATTATTAAGGGGTCACCATAGACCTCAAAAGATTTCTATCTAAAGGACCAGACATGACATTCGGAGAATAATATACTATCTCAAAAAATAGAAATATTACCTTCGAATAGATATAATCATTCAAATGAGGAAAATCTTTGAGATTTATAGATCTACGGAACCGAAGATCTTCCCTTAACTTACAAGTGTAAGATAAAGTTTATGTTAATATTTGGGTCTGGTATTTCTATGAGAGGGCTTCGTCATAATTAATTACATCTCAAGAATTGCTTTTGAGAAAACACTCTATTAAATGTATGCCTTATGTCATTCTTATTTATTAATGAATGTTTATAAATTAATAAGATTTGAGGACATTGATAAAAAGAATAAGATTGGACATAAGTTGGCTTCACTTGAGTTTCAAAATTTTTGACCTCTTGGGTTAAGCCCAACAATTGATAGTTGGAATGATACAAAGCTTAAATCATTCAATCAATTTTGACAAACAATTGAGGTTTGAGTTGAATTTTGATTGGATTGGATTTGATCCTAGGTTTGAATCATTTTAGAGTTAAGTTTGGATTGGAATTATAATTGATCTTGGATAGAAACAAGTTTTAAAAAAAAATAAGGTTGAGTTTGGATTGAAATTGGAATTTGAATTGATTTGAATTAGTTTGGATTTGAGATTGATTTAAGAAAAAACTAGTTGAGGTCAGTTAATATCAGGTTTAGTTTAAAAGGATTAGGTTAGACTTAATTTAATTTATTTAAGGAACATTAAGTCTAAGGGTGTAATAGATTTCTAGATGGAGGTGAAGCCCTAACTTAAATATCTTTAAGAAAGAGGCTATTGGCGGCCTAACCTAAATTTGGGAGAAACTCACCTGGTCAATATGCTCATGGCTTTCCATCATCCCAGATACATTGGCAGCCCCAGAATATTAACCAGCAGAATAATAGGAGTTCTCCCTTATTGCCATAGTAATGAATTAAGGTAGTTCTTTCTACTATAAAGTCATTGTCAGTATCTTCATCCATATCATTGACTACTTCATTCTAGGATACTCATAGTCTTTCGAGGTAAGTAAATTTATTTTATAGGTCCTACTCCTTAGTTCTAATATACGAGAGAACCAAGTAACTAACCTAGGGCTTCTAAACTGGACTAATCTAGGGTATGTGTATGGTCCCAAGTTTTTGTGTTCACTATCCTAGGTTCATAGTTTGGAACTATTTTAAGGTGTGGTTATAAAAATTAGAGCTAATAGATTTTAATTCTTTTTGGGGTTTGATAATAATAAAAAATTTTTTTTTACCTAGAAATCATCAGTTATGATGAAAAATTAAGATTTTTTGGGTGTTGCTTGGTTATTTTTCTATCCTAAGTGAAGTGCTGGTCAAATTGTTAATCGAATAATGTTTTTTCTATCGTATGCTTCAATTTTATCCCTATAGTTTTCTTCTCCCTCCTTAAGGTTTCAATTATGATCAGGATAATATATGAGTGAAAAGGGTAGCGGCTCATTGATCCCGATATTTTTTACATGTAAGGATTTATGAAGTTGACACCGCTACTTGAAAATTTCAATCCCCTACAATGAC